TAAGGGCATTTCCAATGTCGACTCTCAAACCGTCCACATATGTCTACACAACGTCGTTCAGATGTGTTGGGCCATCCAACGGGGGACTGTATCGCTCTGCAGGACATTCCGGATGCAATTTCTCACGTAAACGGAAGACAAACATGGGAGCTTTGCGAGCGTTCGGACCGCTGCCACGCCCGCTTCTGACCTCCCTGGCCCAGCCAAACCCCCCACCCGTCCCTCCCGCGTTTTCCATCACACGCGTCCTGCTACTTGTGGTGCCGCATTCATTCCGGCCCAGAGCATGTAGCGGCCTGCACTGATGCTTGTGATTTGACCGGACGAGAGAGCGGCGCAGACGGAGGCGACCTCTCACTGCCGCCATTAAAGCGGCGCGCCAGCCGAGAGAGCACCGCCCGCCGTCCACGTGTCTGTGACCGTGCTCTGCCGGCGGAGAAAGAAGCCGGCTTCGCAGAGATTGGTAACTCGGCGTCTAGCATGTCCACGCCTGTCATCGTCGTCGAGGAGAAGTAGAACATGAGAGGCCGCCGCCGTTTGGGTCCCATGAAGACCACCATCGAGGCGACGCAGGCGTACACAACCAGTGTCTTGCCCGGTGGCAGGCCACCATCGTCCCCTTCACCTCCTGCTGAAGCACATCCAACGATTCCACTCCGATGAGCGGCGCTGCTGAACATGGGGAAGCGACCCCACTCTTTGCGCTCAAGCATATACCTTCAGGGCTCACGGCAGTCCGACGAGCGGGGTGCCGGACATGTGGAAGACAAAGGCATCCGCCTCGGCCGGACTTAGACTAGTGTACTGTATCCGTGTTGTTGGAATGGAGCTTTGCGCGTCCGAATGTGCACATTGTTTTAGCTATTTTAGCTATTTGATTTGTTAAAAAAATGTTTGAAATGTATGCGGACAACGTTGGATAGCTAGCTCCGACATCAGTCTTCACAGACCGGTTCCCTCTGTCCGCGGACGGGTGTGGTAGGAAATTTACGGGTCGGCGTTGGATGCCCTAAAGAGAGCATGGGGGTTTTGAAAGAATTTTTTTCTTATAGGATTGAAAAGAGATACAGTTGTGACTGTGAGGGAAAACTTTTGACCCAAGAAAACCCAAATGATAAGTGTCACACGTGCGGCACGAATTAACACCACACTGACGTTTTACAACTAAAATTGCCATCCGAAAAACCCCCCCAAAAAACAGAACATTGTCATCCAAACAGAAAGTGGTCATGCTTCACAAACTAAAGTTGCCATCCTCGAATAACTAAACTTGCCATAAAAATTTCATGGCAGAATTGCTTCGTTCCACACGTGTGACACTTATCAAGGTCCAAAAATTACTATGAGAGAGAATTCATCTTTTCTAAAAGAGCAGTGCTATGCGAACGACAATATTTGGACAATTTGCTGACGACGATCAAATCTAGCGCAGGAATCTGCTCCACAACGGAGCAACGGCCTCTGGATTCTTTTGTCGTGCATAGATCACCCTTGGAATGTCGTGTGTGGAGGAGTTTTGTTTCTAAAAAAATATAAGGTTCCTGTGAGTTTTTTTGTGGGAATGAAAGACACGATTTTTTTAGTAGGTCAAGAAAAGTCTGGCCTGGAAGTAAGAGTGTGACTGTATGCCTGCAGATTTGATATGCATGTGAGAATTTTGTGTACTCCCTCTGTAAACCAATATAAGAGCGTTTAGATCACTAAAGTAGTGATCTAAGTGCTTTTCTATTTTTTACAGAGAAATCGAGAGAGTATATGAGAGAGAGGTGTTGTCAGAATTTCACATGGTCGTAGGTGTGGGTGTAGGAGAGAGAGGTGTTGTCAGAATTTAACATGGTCGTAGGTGTGGGTGTAGGAGAGAGAGGTGTTTTCAAAATTTCACATGGTGGTAGGTGTGGGTGTAGGAGAGAGAGGTAGTGGTGGTCACGGGCAGGAGAATTAAGCATCAATTGCCCTGACGCAGCTGCATTTTTCCAACACAATGTACATATCCATATGCATTAGAGGCTATACTGGACGGTCATGATAGAGGGTACCGCGGAGGTTGACATATGAAAAATCATACTCAACTTTTTAGGAAATATATGTGCATTAATTGGCTCCTTTCCAAATAAGAGTTGGTTGCTAATTTATTTCTTCCTCACATGAGTATGAGAAAATAACTATTCTAGACGGTCGTCGTTGGTGAGCACTCACCACGAAGTCACATACAGCGTGAGTCAATCAACGCATTGGTGCCAATTATTTATTACATTGGTTTTTGAGCTGCTTCATTGCAGATCAACGTACTCCCTCCGTAAATAAATATAAAAGTGATTAGATCGCTACTTTCTTATATTTCTTTACAGAGGGAATACTACATAACACTGATCTCAGACTGAGTTTGCATATGGCAAATGCTACATAACAATTGCTGCACAAGTTCATCAGCAACATCAATTGGCAAATGTTCAACTTCATCAAATGTAACGTCCCATGGTGAGCAATATGACAAATTACCTGATCATCCAGCCTTCTTGGTAAGCGATACAGCCAACTGAAGCACCGGGTAAGCAACCTCTTCCTGCAAGCTACGCTCCAGACTCCAGCGCTTCTCGGCTGTCCTCACAAATTCATCCATCACTTCTCCGAAATGTTGGACAACTATCGGCTCAAATGCAGATCTCATCATGTTTATTTGCGATTTTGCAGTGGTATGAGCTTTGTCCACACCGCGTTTGAAGTCTTGCACATGCATCTCATTGATCGAAAAGGACCCCTCTTCTTGGATGATCTCCCTCAGCTCTACGTTTGAAGGTCCATATATTGGAACATAAAAAGAATCATACTTCGCTTTGTCGATCACGCCCTGTCAATCACGCCACAAGACCGAAGTTCAAATAGACATGCTTATTTGAAATCACTACACTGATAAGCTGGCAAAAATAATATTGACGTACCTCTGAGACCATGGCAACCAATATCTGAGCAAAGGTTTCCCATAGGTGATAGCATTTTGAGGCAGTTTTATTAGAACGAGTCCCTGTAAGGGAAACAACCATACGACCTCCTGGGACTAATTCTTTGGCTCGCAGCTCTAAAAAAATTGAGAAATCTTTCTTAAACTGATGTGCATAAGCGTCAAGGACCATAAGAACCCTTTCATGCCTAGCATGCTCATCAACGTCGTACGCTGGGATCCGGCTTCTTGTTAGATCTTCAGGAGCCTGCAAGGATAATGTATTAATGTTCTTACATAATCGAAAAGTTAATAAGAACGGATTGATGCTCCGAGCAGTATCAAACCCGCACCTTTGATAGCCAATTCTGGCTGTTGGATGAGCAGAAAAGATGCAAGGAGCCACTAGTGAAGAGCCTCTTGTAAAATGACCCTGGTACGATCCCCACGGTCACAATACCAGGCTCGTTGCTTTGACAGAGTGTGACTAGGCTCTTCACCACCGAGTTGAAATCATTCCCAGGTAGGTCATTGAGGAGAAGGCACACTTCTGGCGGTGGCTGCTTCAGCTGAGCACAATGATTGTCAATGGCCTCGACAGCAAATGATACCAGTGCTAGCGCATTTGGTCCAGTGGAGCATCCCAAGTCCGCAACCAACAACTTTTCGGGAAACAAGGTGTTGTTGCTGCTGCATAAGTCAGCAATGGCTGCTTCGATTAGAGGCTTCATTTTGTTTTGTAGAGCTTTCTGCAATCGAGTTCTAATTCTTCAGAAAATATTTTCTCAAAATACTATTCAGAAAATATTGTTTGCAAAATGGCGTGTTTCTTCTCCTCCCCGAGTATATATAAATGCCAGTAATAAAGTATATAATATGAAAAAAAATCTTGATGAATCATTTTTTATAAGCCTAGTGTGAAAGAACATGCTGCAATACGTTTGTGTATTATTCATGATAGGAGAAGATACCTGAAAGCCAGAGTTGCGAGCATAGCTAGCTTCCCCTTGTCCATGATTCATATGGACTATCTGCTTCGAGGCCATGGATTTGCTTGGAGCAGGGCTAAAGTCTAGACAGTGAATCTGTAGAAACTTCATTAAACAGGCATTGCTTATAACGTACTGGAGGTTTTTTTTCCCCCAATTGTAACGTACTGGATGTTCAATATTTATTTTTTCTATGCACAACTGGGTTGTATTTTTAAGGCCTCTGCCAGCTTACGGAAGATCAACTAGCTTTATTATTTTCAATCAATGTGAGGACCAGCCAATGGAAACGAAATGTTAGTCAAATCCAGATCAGAATATGAGCTAAGAATCTGTCACTTGGGGTGTACTATTTGTTTGACTAGCAGACTTGTTATATCTTTGTTTGACTAGCATAGGCGCTACTTATTCGGGGTAATAATGACGTTGTATGCTTTATTATTGTAGTCTTAGAGCAACTCCAACGCGCCGACCCATTTCGTCTGCACGTATCCATTTGGGTTGCCGCGGATAGAAAAGTCTACCCAAACGAACGCGCATTCGCTTTTCGTCCGTCTGCCGATCCATTCTTGGCACAAAATTTGGCCTTATTTGCGTACGGAGTGTCCGGTGATCTCATTGATGAGTACGTCCGTATGAGCGAGTCTAAATGCCTAGAGTCCATATACAGGTTATGCAAGGCTGTGATTGCACTGTCTGGCCCTGAGTACTTGAGAGAGCCGACTGCTGAAGATAAAACCCACTTGTTGGCGACCAATGCCAGCAGGGGCTTCCCAGGGATGCTTGGCAGCATAGACTGCATGCACTGGGAGTGAAAGAACAACCCTTCTGCTTGGCAAGGGCAGTATAGGGGCCATGTCGGGGCTTGCACTGTCATACTTGAGGCCGTGGCCTCACAAGATCTTTGGATCTGGCACTCTTTCTTTGGCATGGCCGGATCACACAATAATATCAACGTGCTTCAACGCTCGCCCATGTTGCAAGGCTTGCCGAAGGCAACAGCCCGCCGGTCAATGTTAACATCAACGGCCACAACTACAACAAAGGATACTACCTAGCTGATGGTATGTACCCTCACTGGACCATTATTGTGAAGACAATCCCCAACCCCATCAGAGAGAAGAGGAAAAGATTTGCCCAAGAGTAAGAGAATGCTAGGAAGGATGTCGAGCGTGCCTTTGGTGTTCTGCAATCTCGATGGGGCATCGTTTGGTATCCTGCTAGAACTTGAAGCACCAAGAAGTTGTGGGAGGTGATGGCTGCTTGTGTGATCATGCACGATATGATCGTAGAGGATGAGCGCCCAGAACGTATCTATGATCAAGGGTTTCAGTTTCAGGGTGACAATATTGTACCTGAGCATGGAGGAGGAGCATCAACATTTGCACAGTTCACCCAATTTCATCATCAAATGCGTGATTGGGAAATTCACATTCAGCTGCAAGATGATTTGATTGAGCATATGTGGGCTCATGTTGGCAACCAATAGATGTATCTTTTTTTAAATGTATTTTGAACAATTTATTTTTTATTCGGCTTGTAAATTATGATATATTTATTTGGGTTGTGGAACTATGCTATTGTTTTGTTTGCTTATGAAACTATGCAAAATGTGTGTATATTATTGAGAAACAGCACCAAGCCGGCCACACGGACAAATATGGGTCGACGCGTTGGGCGCACTGGTGACCCAAATCAAAAAGAGGGCGGACGGCGAGCAGGCGGCCGACCCAAACGGACAAAACGCGGACAAAGCACGTATCCGTTTGGCTCGGTGCATTGGAGTTGCTCGTAGAACTAGCCATTATACTGAGGTTGTGTGCTTTATTATTGTAGTCTTAGGACTAGCCAATGGCAACAACGAAAGGTTGGTCAAATCCAGAAGAGAATACACTACTAACAACCTGTCACTAGCAGGCCATTATTTGTTTTAGACTAGCAGATCTGCTTAGATTGTTCAAGGGGAAAACGTGCAGAACACTTAGAGCAGCACATACAAACTTTTCTTGTTTTGGAGTGGCATAATTTTATTTACAGTGACTGTGTACCTGACTTTTTCTTTAGTGTTTATGCAGCTATAATAAATGCTTGACATCGCCAAATAGACACAAGCAAGTCCGAAACTAATTGCATGACAGTCAAGCAGCCAAATAATGAACTATTGTACGGCCTTGAGATGATAATGCATTGAAAAGAAAATACAATGGCAAAACGCCATGAGAAAACTTGAAGTTTCTTGGCTGGCTAGAGACAGGCCATGATTTTTTTATTTAGAAAATCATATGAAAGGAAGGGTATTTCATATAAACCTTCCAGTGTCGAACACAAAGTCCCAGCTTGGCATTTTGTCGCCTCGCATCCAGTTCTCGCCACAGTTACTGAAAGATGACATTTTACTTACTAATGAAGTAATGATACAAGATAAGCAGTCACAGTGAGAGTCTAGCAATAATAGAAAGTCATGACCAATGCTCATAGTGAGTCATGAAAAATAAACTCTATATCCTTATTAGATTCACATTTTTTATTTAGAGTGGTACAGTCTTATTTGTTTACTTGTTTACTGCGACTTTGCACTTGGGTTTTCCTTTAGTGTATAAGCAGTTAATAAATGCTTGACATTGCCAAGTTGACACGACCAAGTGCAAAACTAATGCATGCCAATCAAGCAGCCAAGTAATAAAATATTTATGGCCTTGAGATGATAATGCATCGGATGGAATATAAAATAACAAAATACCATGATACAATTTAGATGTCTTGGTACTGGAAGAAAATCATATGAAGGGAAGGGTATTTCTTGTTAGAATACATTGTAACATGTATATACGGTATAAATATAAACCGTATATACGTCCGGTAGGCTAGCGTGTTGCGTGGTTGTTATAACCGGTAGTTGTGGTTGTTAGGATTCATCCTCATCTTTGTATATCTTTCTTGAGGATCAATCCAACACAACCGAACTACCAAATCTTGCAAACCTCTTTGCCTATATAACATGGAACGTGTCCCTGCCAGAGGCATATGCTTCATCCAATCTTTCATGGTATTCAGAGCCAACTTCTTCTCCAACATCCAAACCTAGTCATGGCTAGCTCCAGCTCCGCCGCCGCCACTTTTGCCCTCATTCCCATCGCTGACAAGCTGCACCGGGGCAACTACCTGGTCTGGCGCGCGCAAGCCCTAGCCACCATCCGCGGAGCGCAGCTGATTGATCACCTCAACCCTGATCACCCGTTCCCGGAGCCCAAGCTTGACGATAAAGACGGTAAGCCGACAGATGTGCCAAACCCGGCGTATCTTGTCACCCTGGCGCAAGACTCGCAGGTGCTGAGCTTCATCTTCAACTCGATCTCGCCACCTGTGATGATCCAAGTCGCCCACTGCACCAAGGCCGCCGCGGCATGGACCGCCATCAGGGAGATGTTCCTCTCCCAGACGCAGGCCAACATCGTCAACACGCGGATCACCCTCTCCACCACCAAAAAGGGCACCGCGACCATCGCCGACTACATCGTGCGCATGAAAGCACTGGGCGACGAGATGGCTTCAGCAGGCAAGCCGCTCGACGATGATGACATGGTCTCCTACATCCTCGCCGGACTAGACTACGACTACATGTCGTTTGTCTCGTCCATTTGCGCCACGAGGACTGAACCAATCAAGGTAGCTGAACTTTACTCTCAGTTGATCGGTTTTGAAAAGCGTCTTACTATCTTCGACGGTGGCAACCACTCCTCCCAGTCCTCGGCAAATACCATCTCTCGTGGCCGTGGTGGTTTTGGCCGCGGTGGAGGTGGCCGTGGCAATGGTGGCCGCGGCAATGGAGGAGGTGGCCGCGGCAACAGAGGCCGTGGCAATGGAGGCGGTGGCCATGGCAATGGAGGCCACGACAACGGCAACAGCAACGGAGGAGCCGATGACCTTCCTGAGGTCGTCTGCCAGATCTGCAAGAGGCCGAATCACACCGCCCTCGAATGCTACCGGCGCTTCGACATCTCCTACACCAAGAACGAGAAGAGCGCCGGATCTGCCACAACCTCGTCCTATGGAGTAGGTACCAACTGGTATCTGGACACTGGCGCCACCAATCACATCACCAGCGAGCTCGACAAGTTGACCGTCCACAACAAGTACCACGGCAACGATCAAGTTCACACTTCAAACGGAGAAGGTATGGAAATTAGTCATATTGGTCACAGTACCGTTCGTACCCCTACTCGTGATCTTCATCTAAAGAACATCTTGCATGTGCCCGATGCCGCCAAAAACCTTATCTCAGCCATCGCTTATCCACTAATAATCATACTTTCCTTGAAGTTCACCAACTTTTTTTTCTCTTCAAGGAACAGGGAACGAGGAAAACCCTTCTGCGCGGCAGGTGTAGACAAGGTCTCTACCCCGTATCATCGGCTCCCTTTAGCTCAAGCAAGCAAGCGTTTGGTGCAAATAAACTGCCTGTTGATAGGCGGCACAGTCGGCTAGGGCATCCGTCATCCACCATAGTGCGTCATGTTCTTAGCCAGAATGTTATTCCCTTTTCTAGTAGCGAGTTGAATAAAGGAGTTTGTGATGCATGCCAAATGGGAAAAAGTCACCAACTTCCTTATCCTAGTTCAAACAGTGTGTCTAAAGCTCCTTTAGAGCAAATTTTCTCCCATGTATGGGGGCCTGCCCGTGATTCTATCAATAAGAAAAACTATTATGTGTCTTTCATTGATGATTACAGCAAATTCACGTGGATATATCTACTTAAGCACCAATCCGAAGTGTTTAAGGTCTTTCATGAATTTCAAACCCTTGTTGAAAGGTTGTTCAATAAAAAAATAATCACTATGCAAACAGACTGGGGTGGCGAATATGAATGCCTAAATTCCTTTTTTCGTCAATTAGGAATCACTCACCATGTCTCATGTCCCCATGCTCATCAGAAAAACGGGTCAGCAGAAAGAAAACATCGACATATTGTTGATGTAGGGCTCTCTCTCTTAGCCCATGCCTCCATGTACTTGAAGTTTTGGGATGAGGCTTTCCTCTCTGCCACATATCTGATAAATCACACCCCTAGCAAAGTGATTAATTTTGAAACTCCTCTGACACGCTTGTTTCAA